GGAGGGAAAAAGGAAAAGAAAGGGGAAGGGAAAAGGGGAGAAGGGGAAATGAGGGGAGGGAAGAGAGGGAAAAAGGAGGGAGAGGGAGGGGAAAAAAGGAGAGGAAAAAGGGGAGAAAAGGGGAAAATAAACAGGAGAAAAAAAGGGAAAGGAAAAAAGAAAAAGGAGGAATAAAAAAGAGGAAAAAAGAAAAAAGGAAAAGAGGGAAAAGGAAAGGAGGGAAAAAGGAAGGAAAAAGGAGAGAGAAAAACAGGAAAAAAGGGAGAAAATGGGGAGAAGGATTAAAGAAAAAAGGGGGGAAATGGGAAAAAGGAGGGGAAAAAGGGGAAAGAAAGGTAAAAAATTAGGTGGAAAAGGGGAAGAAAATGGGGTAGGAAAAGGGGAGAAGGGAAGGAAAAAGAGACAAAAATATGAGAAAAAGGAGGGGAAGAAAAGAGGGGAAAAAAAAAGGGAAAAAAATTCCCAATCCCATGGACGGGGAGGGATGAGGATAAATTGGAATTTTTGTCTTACCTGGAATGTGAAACCCAAGAAGACCCTGGAAGAAAAGAGAATATTTCCGTTTTTATTCTGATTTATTTCAGCTATTCCAGGCTTTTCTTTCCACTGATTTCCCATTTTCATTTCAGAGGAATTTGGGATTTGTGAAGAATTCCCGAAAAAAACTGGAATCGAATCAATTCTGAATTCCCATCCCCCAAAATTATAAAATTAATTCCCTTTATTCCCAATCTGAGCTCTGGAATTTGAAAATTTCTTGGATTTTGACCGGAATTTGGGTTTTTTCCTGTTTTTTCCTGTTTTTCCAGGTTTTTCCTGGTTTTTTTTCCCCTTTTTCCTGTTTTTTTTCCCGTTTTCCTGGGTTTTTTTCCCCAGGTTTTTTTCCCGTTTTGCTGGGGTTTTTCCCCATTTTCCTGTTTTTTCTCCATTTTTGGGGTTTTTCCTCGTTTTTGGGTTTTTTTCCCCGCTTTTTCCCCGTTTGGGGGGGGTTCCCCGTTTTTGGGGTTTTTTTTTCCCGGTTTTTTGAGGGTTTTTTTTTCCCGTTTTTTGGGGGTTTTTTTCCCGGGTTTTTCCTGTTTTTTTTCCCCAACTTTTTGGGGTTTTTTCCCGGGTTTTTTGAGTTTATTTTCCCCCGTTTTGTTTTTTTTTTTTTTTCCCGTTTTTTTTGAGGGTCTTTTTTCCGTTTTTTTGTGTTTTTCCCCCGTGTCACCTTGGCCGTGGACGTTGCTGGACTCGTGGGAGGGGTTGAAAACCAAATGTTTGGCCATGGAGTCGCCCTCGGAGGTGACGAAGAGGCAGGAGGAGCACGAGAGCCTCAGGCCACTGGAAATGGGGAAAAAATGGGAAAAAATGGGAAAAATGGGGGGAAAAAGAAAAGGGAGAAAGGAGGAAAAAAGAGCAGAAAAAAGGAAAAAATGGGAGGGAAAAGAAGAGAAAAGTAAAAGGCATAAAGTAAAAAGCAAAAGAAAATAAAAAATGAAAATGAAAATAAAAGTGAGAGAAAAGGGAGGAAAATGGGAAAAGGAGAAAAAAAATTGAAAAAACGGAATAAAGAAGGAGAAAAGGGGAAAAGGAAAAAAAGGAGAGAAAAGGGGGGAAAAAAGGGAAAAAGGAGAAAAAAGGGAATAAAAGGGGAAGGAAAATGGGAGGAAAAGGGAAGAGGAAAAAAGAGAAATAAAATTAATATCAAATATAAAATGTGTCCAGTCCCTCATTAATAATTAAATCATGAAGAATTAAGTCATTACTTATTATTTGTTGTTATTATTGATAAAATTACTAATGATTAAATTATTATTAATAATTGCATAATAAATAATAGTTAAAAAATAAAATTTCCAATCTGTGGGACACAATGGGAAGGAGGAAATTGAAACAATAAATCCCAAAAATCCCAAAATTCTGGACTTTCTCCCAGAATCAAAAAATTTGGGAATTGGCAGAGGCTGGAATTTTTTTTTTTTTTTTTTGTGGGAATTTTTTGGGATCTTTTTTGGAATTTTGGGAGAATTTGGGGGGGGGATTTTTTGGGGAAATTTTTTAGGAATTTTTTCCATACCTGGCTGTGTAATTCTTGAACAAAGCCAAATATTTGGGGCTTTTCCTGGGAACGTGGTTGCTGGGAAGGGAAAAAAGACGGAGAAAATACCCTATAAATCCATATAATTAATTTTTTTCCCAAAATCCCATTTTTCCTCCCAAACCTGGCTCCTACTAGATCGTGTGTTTTGCACAGACACAGAACCAGCAGCAATTTCCCCATTTTTACCCATTTTTGGCCATTTTTCCCCATTTTTCCCCCCAGACCCCCGTACTTGATCATGTGGTTGGCGTAGGCGCGGGAGCAGCAGGTGCTGTAGCGGCACAGCGAGCAGTGCACGTAGGTCGGGAAGTGGTTGGGGAAATCCGGGATCTCAAAGCTGCACTCCAGGCACGTCTGGCGGCCCAGCCCACCCCTGGGAGAAAAAAAAAAAAACGAAATCCGGAAGAGTCCCCAAAAAAATGAGCTGAAATCGAGCAAATTCGGCAAAAAATGGCAAAAAATGGGAGAAAAAAAGGGGGGAAAAAAAAGGGGAAAAAAAAGGCAGAGGAAGAGGGGCTGGGGGTCGGGGCAGGAGCCCCCCAGCGCTGGCTCTGGGAGCCCCCACCCCAAATTCACATTAGCTCCCCCTTTGCTCCCAAAATCCCTGCTTTTGACAGGAAAAAAATTGGCTTTTTTTGCCCAGCTCTCTTGGGGACTCCTCCAGCACCACCTCTCCCAACCCCACCCCAAAACTCCCATTCACTCCCCAAAATTCCCTTTTTTTTCCCATTTTTTCCATTTTTCCCCAGAATTCCCATTTTTTTTCCAGGAAAAAAACTGGCATTTTTTGCCATCTCACTCGGAGACTCTTCCAGCACCACCTCTCCCAGTCCAACCCCAAAACTCCCATTTTTTCCCGGAAAAAATCAAGCAATTTTTTGCCAACTCTCTTGAAAATTCTTCCAGCACCAGCTCTCCCAGTCCAACCCCAAAACTCCCATTTTCCCCCGGTTTTTTCCCATTTTTTCCCCAAAACCCCCATTTTCCCCCGTTTTTTCCCCCAAACCCCCGTTTTTCCCCCGTTTTTTCCCCGCTCTCCCCCCGGCCAGCACTGACGTTTTCCTGCCCGCCCTGCGGGGGGCGCTCCTGTGGCACAGGAAGAGGGGCTGGGGGTCGGGGCAGGAGCCCCCCGGCGCCGGCTCCGGCGGCTCCAGGGGCACCGAGCGCGGCTGCGCCCGCGACGCCCGGATCGTCACCTGGGGGGGGGAATTCCCACTTAATCCCACAAAGATCCGGGAATCCCAGCAAATTCCCACCTCAGGAATTCCATAAACGCCAAAATAATCCCCCCAAAACCCCCACACACCACCCCCCACTCCCCATCCCCGCCACACAGAGCCAATAAAAACCCCTGGAATTCCAGGAATAACCCCGGGAATAATTCTGGGAATAACCCCTGGAATTGCAGGAATAATCTCTGGAATTCGGGGAATAATTTTGGGAATAACCCCTGGAATAACCCCCGGAATAATTCTGAGAATAACCCTGGGAATTCGAGGAATAAGCCCTGGAATATTCCCAGTAATAATTCCAGGAACAACCCCTGGAATTCTGGGAAGAATTCTGGGAATAACCCCTGGAAAAATTCCTGGAATAACCCCAGGAATAACCCCAGGAATTTGGGGAATAATTCTGGGAACAGCCCCAGGAATTCCTGGAATAACTCCTGCAATTATTCTGGGAATAACCCCGGGAATAAATCCATTAATAACCCCAGGAATACCCCCTGGAACTCCATGGGTAAATTTGGGAATTCCATGGATAATTGCATGAATCCCATGGATAATTTGGAATCAGGTAGATAACTCCCTGAATTCCATGGATAAATCTGGGAATCCCCTGGATAACTCCCGGAATCCCATCAATAATTCCGTGAATCCTGTGGATAAATTTGGGCATCCCCCGGATAACCCCCCAGATAATTTGGGCATCCCGGGGATAAATTTGGGCGTCCTGGGGATAAATTTCGGCATCCCGGGGATAAATTTGGGCGTCCCGGGGATAAATTTCGGCATCCCGGGGATAAATTTGGGCGTCCCGGGGATAAATTTGGGCGTCCCGGGGATAAATTTGGGCGTTCCCCGGATAAATTTGGGCGTTCCCCGGATAAATTTGGGCGTTCCCGGGGATAATTTGGGCGTTCCCGGCTGACGGGGCCGTGCCTTGGTGCCGGGCCGCAGCCCCTCGAGCTGCCGCGGCTTGCGGAAAGTTTTGTGGTGCTGCAGCTTGTGCTCGATCTTGTCCTTGGCAAACAGGAACTGCAGCCGGCACTTGTTACAGTGGTACACGCTCTTCTTCTGCAAAAACAATTAATTCATCAGTGATTAATTAGCAATTATTTATTGGTTATTGACAAGGTCTCACTAGGTTTCAATTGTTTATTGATTATTAATTAGCTATTAGAACTCTAGCCTGCAGCTGTAGCAGTGGTGCACGCTCTTCTTTGAGAAGAAATCATGATTAATTAATAATTATTAAATAAGTATCAGAACAATAAACGGCGTCTGCTTGTCCCACCCAAACCCAGCAAATCCCCATTCCCTCAGCATTCTCAGAATCCCGTTTTTCCCTGGAATTCTGCCCCACCTGGTGCCTCATGAAGTGCTGCTGGAAGGCGTTGCCGTTCTTGAACACCTTGAGGCAGTAGGGGCACAGCAGGTGCCGCGTGTCCTCGTGGATGAGGCGGAAATGAGAGTCCACCTCGGAGTACAGGGAGGAACGGTACTGACACACCTGGAAAATCCCAGAAAAACGGGAAAAATGGGATTGGAGAGGGGGAAGTGAGAGTCCACCTCGGAGTACAGGGAGGAACAGTACTGACACACCTGGAAAATTGGGAAAAATGGGATTAGAGAGGGAGAGATCCAGGTGGTTTTGGAAGCTGGAAATGGAATTTTGGGGCACCAAATCCCGGGAATTTTGGTACCTGGCAGATGTAGGGAATGACTCCGGGATTTCTGGGGTGGGATCTGGGAATTCCAGGTGGGAATTCTGGGATTTTTCGGTACCTGGCACACGTAGGGCATCTCCCCAGGCTTGTGGGTGTCCTTCATGTGCTGCAGGAAGAGCGGCTCGCTCTCAAACGCCCACTCGCAGATCTTGCACTTGGCTGCCCCAGAAAACGGGAAAAATGAGAAAAAAGTTGGAAAAAAGTCAGAGTTTGAGGGGTGGGGGGAAAGGGGGAAATAGGGAAAATGGGGGGGAGGAAAAAGGGAAAAAGGATAAAAGGATAAAAAATTCCCAGAAAAAGCAGCATAGCACTGACTGGAGGACTCAAAGAGTCTGTGGACATTCCCCAAGTGGAACTGGAGGTGGAAAGGGCTGGGAAATGAAACTTGGGGGGCATTTGGGGTGGCCTTCCCTAAATCAATTCCCACTAAATCCAGGATAGAATTCCCAACAAAAACCCCCAGAAAAGCAGGCTATCACTGACTGGAGGACTCGTAGGGGCTGTGCACGTTCTCCAGGTGCAACTGCAGCTGGAAGGGGGTGCTGAAGTGGCGGTAGCAGTGCTGGCAGATGCTGTGCACGTCCACCTCGCCGTTCTGCTGGTCCAGCTCCACGTGGTGCTTCATGTGGTTCATGAACCTGCAGGGACGGAATTCCCGCAATTCCTGCAATTCCCAACGCTCATCCCCAGGAAAATCACCCCGGGTGCTGCTCCCAGTCTGGGGTTGGGGTGTTTTTGGGGGGATCCATGGGGAATTCTCGGAGAATTCCTCACTGAGGCTTGTTCCTGAGGTGGTCACATCCCACTGCCCATCATCCCCACATTCCCTGAGAATTCCCGGGACAATTAACAGGTAATTAATGACTAATTAATGGCTAATCACTCACCGGATGTTGTTCTTGAGGCGCTTGGTGCAGTGGGGGCACCGGAAGGACGTTGGCACCCTGGGGCAGGGGGGCACGGCCGCCCCCTTGCCCCCGTCCCGCCCGTAGTAGAACTCATCCACCAGCATGATGAGCTTGGCCTGGGCGGGGTCGGCGCCGCCCTCACCTGGCTCAGGTGCTCTGGGCGGGGTCGGGGGCGGGGCCGGGGCCGAGCCCTGCGCTGGGGACGGGGCCTTGGCGCTGGGCGGGGCCGGCTCCGAGTCCAGGGATTTGCGTTTCTTCAGGAACTCCACCAGCTCCGGGCAGCAGTACTGCGGGCAATTAACGGGGAATTAATGGGTTATTAATGGGTTATTAATGGGGGAATTAACGGGTTAGTAATGGGTTATTAACAGGGCATTAACAACTGCTTGTTAAAATGAGAAGAGAGTTATTAGTGTGGGGAGATCGGGGTTAGGATGGGGTCAATCCCCCCTCGTTAAACTGGGGCTAAAATTAATCCCTGTTCATTGAACTGGGGCTGGGATCAATCCCTGCTCGTTAAACTGAGGATGAGATTAATCCACACACACTAAACTGGATCTAGAATGAATCCCCACTCATTAAACTTGGTCTAGAGTTAATCCTCGTTCATTAAAATGGATCTGGAATTAATCCCCACACATTAAACTGGATCTAGAATTAACCCCCCATCATTAAACTGGATCTAGAATTGATCCCCACGTGTTAAATTGGGTCTAGAATGAATCCCCACTGGTTAAGCCGGGTCTGGAATTGATCCCCACTCATTCAGCTGGGTCTAGAATTGATGCCCACGGGTTAAACTGGGTCTGGATTGGCCCCCGAGGCTAAGGCAGGCCCAGGGCCGCAGCCAGGGTGACTTACACACATGTGTCCCCGCAGCGCCTCGGTGACACGGAACTGGGAGTCACACCTGGGACAGACCTTCCTGCCCCCATCCTGCAGATCCAGGCTGGGCACGGGGGAGGAGCTGCCTGCACGGATGGAATTCCCACATTTATCCCCAAAAAAATCCCAAATTCCCAGCTTTCCTCAACCTTTATCCCATTAAAAAAAAAAAAAACAAAATTTTCTACTTTTCCCAAAAATTGGCAAAAACTAAAACTGCCTCCAATGATGTGGAATTTAAGGGATTTAAACCAAATTTTACTTCACAAGAACCTGGAATGTCCCTTAAATCCAATTTTTGCCTCCCAAAGATGCGAATTTAAAGGATTTAATCCAAATTTTCCCTCCCAGTGATGTGGAATTTAAGGGACTCAAACTCAGTTTTGACTCCCAAGAACCTGGAATGTCCCTTGAACCAAATTTTACCTCCCAAGAACCCAGAATGTCCCTTAGATTCAAATTTTGCCTCTCAGGGATAGGGAATTTAAAGGATTTACACCAAATTTTCCATTCCAGCGAGGTGAAAATTAAAGGATTTAACCCTAATTTTCCTTCCCAATGCCATGAAATGTAAAGGCCCCAAACCCACAGAGCCCAGCCCACCCCTCCCATCCCAAATTTCCCAATTTCCACCCCGAATTCCCAGGATTTACCTTTGAGTGGCGCCGAGCTCTCGGCGGCACCGCGCTGCCCGGCCCCGGGGCTGCTGTTGGCCATGGCCAGCGAGGAGGGGCCGTGGGCTACTGAGGAGGGGCCGTGGGCTAGTGAAGGAGGGCCGTGGGCTACCGAGGAGGGCCCGTGGGCCAGCGAGGGCACCGTGCCCAGCGTGTTCACCAGCTTGGCGACCTCGGGGCCGCCGGCGCTGGCCTCGCCGGGCACGCCCGGGCGCTTCAGCGGCACAAAGCTGGCGATGCTCACTGCAGAGAGAGGGCTGGGGCTGGAATGCCAGCCTGGAATGCCAGACAGCAATTCCCTAACTGCTCAACACAAACTCACCCAGATTCTCCTCACTTCCCAACCTGTGCTTGGATGAAATTCCAGTGGAATTCCAGCCAGGAATTCCCAAACTTTTGAACCCAAATTCTCCAGATTCTGCAAAATCCCAATGGAATTCTGGACAGGAATTCCCAAACTGAACCAGAGTTCTACTCATTTCCCGGTCTAAGTTTGGACAACATTCCAATGGAATTCCAGCCAGGAATTCCCAAACTTCTGAACCCAAACTATTCTAGATTCTCCTCATTTCCCACTCTATGTTGGACCAAATCCCACTAGAATTCTAGCCAGGAATTCCCAACTTTTCAACCCAAACTCCCTGAGCTTCTCCTCATTCCCCAACCTGTGAAGGACTCGACCCAAAATCTGAACTCGGGCCCAACTCCCACCCCCGCCCCATGGATTTTTCCACTCAAAATCCCCCAGAAATTTGGGCCAGCAGAATTTTGGGACCGCAGGGATGCGGGACTGGAGTGACTCACTCTGCTGGGGGGGCTGTGCCTGGGGCACGGTGCTGCGCAGCGTCAGCGTGGCCGGGATCACCGTGGCGAAGGCGTTGGCGCTGCCCGGCCTCACCTGAGCCACGGGAGAGAACACCTGGGGAACGCCCACTGCAGGTTTAACAAACTGGGCACCTGGGGCTGCACGGGAGAGAAAACATCACAGGGGTTACGGGAATTACTGATTTATTTGGGATTTATTTCCAGTTTTATTTGGGATTTCCAGCTTTATTTCCCACTGGAATTAATCCTGAGATGTGAAACTGGATCTGGAATTAATCCCTAGAGATTAAACTTTAAATATCCAGAAATAATATAGCTGTTACTGACGATTCTAATTAATGGATTAACGGGTTAATTACCTGGCACGAGGGTGATGGGCCGCACAGTCTGGCCCTGCTGCACGTTGAGCACGATCCCCACCTGGTTCATGGGGCTCTGCACGGGACGGACGTTCCTCACCGGGAACCCCTGCAGCCAAAACGGCACAAATTCACCCCAAAATATCCCAAATGTATCCAAAATATCCCAAATTCACCCCAAAATATCCCTGGAATCATCACTGGAATACAAGGGATTCATCAGCTCCAAAATATCCCAAATCCACTGAAAAAATATTCCAAATTTACCCAAAAATATCCCAAAATCAATAATCCCTGGAATCCAAGGGATCCGTCAGCCTCGGGAAAGAGAAGTTTCCCATGGATTTTCCATGGGATTTCCAGGGGTTTTCCATGGAATTCCCAATTTTACAGGGACTCTTCCTATAAAAATCCAACCCTGCAGTGAGGTCTAAACCCTGGGACATTTGGTGTCATGGGAAAACAGCATTAAAAAATCACTGAAAAATGGGAATTTTTCCTGGGAAAAGGATATTTTTCCATGGATCTCCCCTGGAACTCCAAGACAAGGACTCTTTCCAGGATAATCAAACCCTGCAGCGAGGTCTGATCCCCACCCCACAACCCCGGGGGGATTTTGGCGCGACGGGAGAGCACCATTAAAACCTGAGTGGAAACGGGGATTTTTCCCGGGAAAGGGTATTTTTCCCAGGATTTCCCCTGGCTCGGGGCGGGGGCTCACCTGGGTGGTGATGAAGATGGGCTGGGTGCCGGCAGGGGGGGTGGTGCCGTGGTTGGCGTTCTGCATCAGCTGCACGGGCCGCAGCAGCGGCTGCGTCACCACGGCGCCCAGGCCGGGCGCGGGGCTCTGCGCCAGCAGCACCGACTGCGGCCCCGGCTGCACGGCGGCCTGCGGCCCTGGGAACGGGAAAACACCGGCGGAGACCGGGGAGTGTGCGGGGATACAGGGGAATGTCGGGGGAGACGGGGAATGGGGGGGATACAGGGGAATGTCGGGGGAGACGGGGAATGGGGGGGATACAGGGGAACACCCGGGGATAGGGGGGAATGTG